GTGAGTCCACTAAGTGTTTCCACTGGTTCTCCTGCTCTGTCCTGAGCGGTGGCATATTGCATGTAGGCACCATGCTGTGCTGCTGCTGGCAACGGCGTGAGGCAGAAGAGGATTATTCCTGACGACAGGGGCATTAAATGTGTAGCAGGCCGGTGGAGGCCTGAGCTGATGCTCTCTTGTCTGTTTTGGTTCAGCACCAGTTCAGAAGCAGTCCCCTCTAAGCTGAGTGGGAGCTCACAGTACTCAGAGCGTTGTGCCGTTCATTAAAGGCTGAGGGTGTCACAGCAGCTTAGGCCCAGTGTCCTCTCTCAACCAAGGCTTCATGCTGTACTCCTCTGCTTCTGCTTTTTAACACAGAGTGACTAGGAATATAGTCACTTCAATTGGCAAATTTTCTCTGTTTGTCAATGCTTTATAATGACACACTTGAACCACGTGATAAAAGTCAGCAAGGTTTATGTCTACAAGGAGGCTAACACTGATAGGTCTAATCCAGCATGTTGTGGCGTAGAAAATATTACTCACTCTTGTCCTCAGAACTCAAATTGCAAGTCATAAATGCTGTCATTCAGACTCTGCGCCTATAAGAGCTGCTCCAGAAGTACATAGTTAAAGGGGAAAGTCAGACTACACAGCAGGAAAGTCAAGCCTAAATAAAATCAGCTCCTTTCTTTGACTGGTGGTTTTCCAACAGACGATACACTTGCTTTGAATCCTATAATAATACACAGGCTGAATCAGAACTCTAAAGTAAACCAAAGAGCACAAAGTCCAGCTTGAAAATAGCCCTGGTAAAATTGCAATTCTCCAGCACAACTCAAGTCCTGCAACCTTCATGCCAGCATAACCAAACATCAGGCCGACTCTGTTTGATCTTGAAAGGGATATAAGCCTAAAGCCCTTCCTGTGTGAGATGTCCTTCTTTAAAAAGATTCTAATCTCAACCGAAATGTCTAGCAAAATAGAGGTCATCGTGCCAGAGCACCGAGCAGACAATAGCAGTTGGCTGCAGACCTGAGAGGAATTCTGTGAAGATTTGTTCCTGTGTGTCTCACATGAGAGGCACGGTGACATCAATGGCTGAAAGAGCAGTTACACAAACAAGGTAAATATAGAATCCTGGGAAGTATTTCTATTTTCTTCTGCAACTTGCTCACTATAAAGTGTGCTATCATCTTGTCTTATTTTGACAGGTGAGAAATCACAGAAATGTCACTGATTACTGCAACAGAAAATTTTCATTTCAATCATGACCTCCTTTTGTATTTCTTTCAACAAAACCTTGTTTTTTGGTTTTTTTTTCAAGTGCTGCCAGGTACTTTTCCCCCCATTGATAATTTGAAGGCTGGTAGCATATCCGTACCTTGCACGCTACTCGTGATTCACTGACGAGAGTACCATTCAACCTTCTAAACTCCCATCCTCTCCCTTGAATTTTGATTCGATTGGTTTATCTAATTTTCCAGTAAATGCTTGAAATGTATTCCTGCACACCTTCTTCTCATGAAACTACACAGGGGAATCATGAGAATGATAGAAATGAATAGTTCTGCATTAGCTTTACTTCACCTCACCAGCACTGCCACAGCCCCCCGCTCACTCTACTTCCAGTTTTAAAGTTTTCAAGCAGAAAGTTGTTGCCAGCGATTCATGAATGAAACAGAAGCAAATAATGTACAGGTGCAGTGTGATGTGGAAAGCAGAGAAGAGGATCTGTCAATAATATATTTTTTTAAAAAAACAAGAATAATAAATTAAATGTTCAGTTTGTAGACAAAAAGACAAATATTATATTGGATTATTATTATTATTGTGTTACACAATGCAGCACAAAAGTACAGATTTCTATAATCTTCAGAATATTTTCTTGATTAATTGTTTGGTCTAAAGACATTAAAAAAAGAGAGCAAAAATTGTTCACTGCAACTGAGGAGAGCCCAGTGTGTCCATCCACAACAGTGCACAACCTAAATCTATAATTAATTGCAACATAAAACAAGGACTATCTGAAAATCCAGAACCAGGAGGATTTGTTGCTTAATGATGACATAATCAATCATCAACTCATTTCTGACAATTGATTAATCAATGTACCACTGCCCTCTCAATATTTCCCACATTTAAATGAACCTATGGACCTCTCATACTCGTGCTGAAGGCTGCGTGTTATGCTACCACCACGTCAGTAAATAGTTTCAGACACGACACAAGCTGTGTGGCTTGAATAGGGCCACGGAAGAAAAATAACTATCGTATATGTTACGTAACAGTTGCTCAAATGAACATTAGCAGCCAACCGAGCAGACTATTCAGATTCCTTAAACATAAAAAGTGGGAAATTAGTGCATTAAGCATGCCGAGCCAGTGCCAGAAATATGCACAGAATTGATGAGGTGTCACTTTCACTGAGAGTCACACAATGGCACCGACAAGAGCCTCTCTGATCCCTCCCTTCCTGCCTGTCTGCCACCAATGAGGCACAAACACTCTGATTTGCATGGTCTGCACAAAAAAGAAACGTCCTTGATTTTAGGAAAGGTTGCCTCGCTCTCTTCAGCCCTGGAAAACACTATTGGCATGCATACCACAACGCCAAGACAACCGTCTTTTTTACTAATTTTTTTTTTCCAATTTCCTATCAGCCTGCCAAACATCCACAGCGAAATGTGCAGCTCCGTAACGCAACATGGTCCATTTTTTTTTCCTGAAATATGTCTGTTGTGATTTAATTTGGTAATAAATGATAAGACATGCTAACAACTGTGGCCGACAGCATTCCCGAGCAAATGCTTAGACTTACATTTTGAGATCAATTTCAAAGCCATGTTAATTAATTTAGACTGCTTGCAGCACAATGCAGGTCAAACAGGGCAAACAAGTTACAACATCAGCCAATTAGAAACACACACACGTTATACATTTTTTTCATATAGAGCACAGCTTGTGAGCAAAGATATGACAGATAGAGACTCAAATGAAGAGTGCAAGTGATTTACAGTAACTGCATTTGTTTTATTGTATTAATTAGCAGAGTAATTCTGACTTCTACGAGCCTTTACCACGAATACATTCATCCCCTCAATTATTTTCTAAAATACACTGACTTTACAAAATCACTGCGTAAAATAATATGTAACTGTATGTCACTGACAGATTGTCTTTTTGAATATCCTGTTTCTTAGAAACGAGGCTGTCTGGTGCCTTATCATCTGGTTGTTTTTCAGTCAATTAACTTTCATCACTGCAGATGACTATATTTATATGGTCACAATTTGTTAATCAAAAGCATGGATGGTTGATTTTTGCATATTGGTTTTAAGATTTGTCATGGAGTGTATTTAGGTCTAATTACTACCAGTTATTCTCTGAAAAGAAGAACCAGTTTTTCATCTATCAATAGTGTAAATGATAAATTCATCAACCTATCCCCTGAGAAAGAGAGCAGGCTGACAAATGAGTTCTGAGGCAAATGAAGCAACACAAGTCCCTGTTAGGGAAATACAGTGTAGCATATTCAAGATTTAAATGCTTTGGTCTATGCTGTGAAATAATCCTGGAGCAAATCAATTACTATGTCAGTTCTTTCCCAAAATGTGATGTATTTTCTTTGGTATTTTGGGATAGACTCCAAAATGTGTCAAAGTTAGTTTGAATTTAAAAAGTTAAAGAAAATAGCAGCAGAAATCAAATCACATTGCAGTGTCTAAAGCTTGATCTAGCAGAGGCATGTGGGAGGCGAGGAAGATTTAGACGGCGGAAGCTAATGAGAAACTTTCCAAGAGACTTGAAATTTCTGTATAAAACATAATTTGAACATGTGTAACTCCATTAAAAAAATGATTCAGAGCTAAAAAAAAAAAAAAAAGAAAAAGAAAAAAAAAAGAAAGAAAAATCATTGTAAATCCTGGGTCTTTTGTTAAAGAAAAAGGAAAACAAAAGCCATCTGTGACATCTTAGAGAAGTATAACATTTTGATGTTAAAAAAAAAAAAAAGCAAAGCGGTTCGTTATCTTTCCCCAATGTGATGCAAATATGAAATGCGAGACACCTTGAGCCTTCACAATGCCAGTGCTAAACACTATTTATGTTTACACCGGGAGCCCCTCATAATGCTTGCTAAATTCAGCAGGAGTGAAGCATAGTGAATGAGACTCAATGTGCAATTGACATTAGCCTTCGATTTATGCCAAACAGAGCTTTCTTGCAGAATGGGAACTGCCAAATGTATAGTAACCACACACACACACACACACACACACACAAAAAAAAAAACATTTAACAATTGTCTCAGTTTAAACGTGAAGATGCTTTGTGGTTTTGTGCTTATATTCCACCACAGAACATAGTGTATGACAATTAAATGCCAGGCTATCCACGCAGAGCATGGATCGCAACGAATTATCCGAGTTAAGACTTTGCAACACAGCTAAAAGAAAGCATCGGAGGAAGCATTGGGTTTATATGAGACAAGTCAATTTCAAAATCATTTCACTTAACATGATTGCAAAGGTGGATATACTCAGAGATATGTCCGATGGTGCACTTTAAATGTAATAAATAATATATCTAAAACCTAATGAGAAATATAAATGTAAAAAAAAAAAAAAACATCCTGTAAAACCTTTCGTACATTTGAAACAGTCGTGATGAATTGTGCAATAGATCTAATCTGAACAGGGAGCACAAGAGCATAAACTAAACCTATTTAAATATAGCACAGGCCTGCTGTTATCGTATGACATATTGAAACATGTGGTATCTGTGAGCAGTTGAGAGACAGGGGTTTTTTTTTTTTTTTGCTTTTTTTTTGTTCTGCAAGGATATTTTTGGTGGAACGGGGGAACCTCACAGACAGCTGTTATGTTGTTTTGAAGAGAGTGCACATGACTTATGAATCTGTCTGAAAAGGGCCTGAGAGAACAGCGTGTCTTTTGGACGGGTATCTGTGTAAAAAAGATGGATTTAGGAGAAAGAGGCATGATAAGGAGCGGTGTCCTTACCTCATTAGTGTTCCATCGGTGTCTCTCCTTTGGCAGCGAGGTGCATTTTGGTAGACATTCAAGCAGCTTCTTGGGCAGGTATATTTTCAAATGTCCATGTTCATCTACAACAAGAGCGAGACAAAAAAGAATATTTAGCACAGGCTTTCATACCTTATTGACTTGCTCGTCTCCCTCTTTATCAGTCTATCAGTCTCTCTGCAGCAAAACGCTGACGGTAAAATAACTATCCCCAGCTGAATTAGGAAATTAATTTAAGAACAGGGTATTGCATACATTTTATTTTGTGGTGGGCTAAATTATTTTACTGTGAAATGTATTCTATCAGGGGAGTTCACCAGACATTTTTCACTGTCAACTTGTAAAGGCTGTGTCTATTCATTATTTAGACACAATAAACACCCTTGAGTGATTTTATAGTGTATGGAGATTTAGTATGGGAATCTGTGTGCTGCACAAAGGAATGTGGTACATTATTCAGAAAAATAATTACAATTACTAGGGCCCCAATGCTTAAATCAGAACGTACGTATTTCAATCTATAATTTACATTTCACATTCAGTTCACAAGAATTATAAAACAGTAATGTTTAAAGACCCGCTTTTACATGGATGCATTCAAATGTTCATTTCAGTTCATTGCTTTCTTCTTAGTCAAATATGCATTAAATATGGCTTAAGTGTGAACAAATTATATTTGTTTAGGGAGAATAAAAACATGATGAATTTGCAATGTCATGGAGAGTTCTGTTATAATAGTGTGCTTCCTTAATCAGAGCATAAGATAAAGGCTTATGTGTCAATAATTTTAGCAACTTGCATACAAGATGTGGATATTCTAGGGTATTCACAGTTAGTTTAAACACAAAAAGCAGTGATTGTCAGTCACAGTGAGATGGCAGGGGAGCCTAAAGTTGGAGACAATGCTGCAGCACCAGTAAACAATAAAGTAGTATCAAGTGGAGCAAAATCTAAAAAATTCTGTAAGGAAAAAAAAATAGGTGTCAGACTGTGTCACTGAGGGCATATTTCTGCATCAAGAAAGAGCAAGCAAACAATATGAGGTTTTTCTTGTCTCTGTAGCTGCCAGTAAAGTTTGTACTATACCTGTTCCCTATTCTCACAGACTGTAAGCCTCTAATCTTTTTTTTTTTTTTCATACTTCCACTACCACACTTTTGATGAATTTAAAGACCGTAGCGCAGCAAATCTCGGATGTTGAGTTAGTTAATCCAGGTAATGTTCCAGCATGTAAAAACGAATCTATTATTCAGCTTTAATGTGTGTAAATTGAATGTAAATAAATTCACTAAGGTAATGCAAAATACTGCATTTATTTGTAATGCAATATAGCTTGAAAATAATTCAGCAACAAAACAAATAGACTGTGCTTCTTTTTCTTTTCTTTTTTTTTTACATTTATATAACTGTGGGTTAGAGGAAAATGGGCAAGTAAAGGGAGAGACAGAAAAAAGCCTGAATATGAGTGCTGACTATGGTTCCCTGGGGTAGATGATAGCAGTGGTTGACTGTGGAAAAAAAAAGAAGAGAGAAAAAGTTCAACCAAAGCAAAATACCAATAGCCAATACAAATAATCCTGTAGTGCACTTCATTATGAGGGTATACAAAGAGTTTCTGTACCTTGCTTACTGTACATCACACAAAGAGTGCAGTGCTACAGCCTCCCAAAACCTCGATATGGAAAATTCAACACAGCTTATCCACAGAGAGGAAGCTGGCTCGAGGCCCCTGAGTGTAATGAGTAAGGTGGAACGTCACTGCTCCCTCAGGAATGTAAGAGTAGAGCTGTAGTGTCTGCTACATCCGTCTGCACCTATAATGCTACATGTAGTTTTATATGAGCTGCGCAGGTATCTGTAATTATTTGCTTCGCCCAATTAAGAATCACATACAGCATCTGCTCCTTGGTACCGCCACAGCGGTTTCACCGACAAAACTGGAAAACGCTGCGACTGAATTATCAGAGAGGTACCAAAGAGAAAAAAGGTAGTTGTTTTTTTCATGTGCGGACTATTTATTATGCATCACCGACTTAAAATTTAATCAAGAAACAAATAAAAAGTGACAGCGGATCCACGCTCAGACGCGCCACGGGTCAGCACAAAGTCCTGGCCGTCTCCTGTCCTACAACATCTGAAAATTTGCTCTTTGCGACTGACAGACAGCAGTAACAGCAAATACATATGGCAAGTCTGTCTGTGCACAGATTATTCAGGATTTAATGCTACCCTCTGGCACACCCTCCTATGACACCATCAACACCAGTCTCAAGTATGTTGAGGATTTTCTCACCGAGGGAGCTGAGATAGAAATCTACCGTAGGAGGATGTGTCTACTCGATCTGCCAGCAGGCTAAAATATTTGGGATGAGCACAACAAAGAGGGTCTTGACGAATGTAATGAAATCTCTTACGCGGTTTTAATCATTTCATAACCTTAAACTTACACCGGTCTTTGCACAACATGTTTTTGTGCAAAGTACTTTTTGGCTCGACAACTCTCTGCCACGGTCCGCTGAATTATGCAAAATACGTCTCAGTTCAGTACGCTGTGCACAATAAAAGGTGACACAACTTGCAACATAACTGCATTTTACTTTGAAATGCCAGTCTTGTATTTGTCAGCTAACAACCCTCAGGCAATAAAGCAACCTATGTAAACCCTGTAGGACTAACAAGGTGTTAACTGGGTTTCTCTTAATCCTTTAACCTTACATGGATGCTTCTTAAATCAGGTTACAACCAAAACCGGAGAATGATTAGATTACTAATGCACATATAAACATAGTGAAGGTGAAAAGACTCAACTGCCATAAGAGATTAGTGTACATTCAGGTGCTGTTTTTACAGTTGTGGCATAGTATACAATATTCTATTGAGCACTTTTAGTTTCTAAATGTCTACATTGGTTCACTTTCTGTGTCGTTTATTATTTTAAATCCATGGACTAGACACACAGTGCACTCAGAATATTCTCTCTCACACCCTGCATCTGATATCAAGCAAAAACTGTGGGTTTAAAGTGCTGACTTTCAGTATTTGATAGTCTGTGCAATGTTCCTGACTGGCCAAGTCAGTCAGCTGACCTCAGTCCAACTGAGCATGTGTTTCACTTGCTGAAGACCAGACTGAAGGCAAAAAGCCCCCAAAACAAGCAAGAAATGAGCATGGCTGCGGTACAGGCCTGGCAGACCGAGGCCAGGGAACATGCCAAGTATCTGTTGATGTCTATGGATCATGGATTTCAGACAGTCATTGATGGCAAGGGATTTGCAAACAAATATCTAACAGCAAACCACGAGCCAAGTCATGAAATATAAAAATCATGATATCTGAATTTTAACGGTACACCTCTGCTGTAAGATTTCACAACGTCCACACTAAGTCGGATGTCCTGAAGTCGGCAGCGCCAGTGTAATGGACAAAGTACTGGTGTTGCATTTATTTGATATGTACGTGAGATCATCATTATTTAGTCGAGACAGGCTGGTGTCGTGTTTACTTTCGCTGCTAAATTATCAGGAAACTGTGCAGAGAAACAAGGTGTTCAGTGTTATTAACACAAGGTCTATAAACAGTAGAGGCCTTACAGTAACTTACCATCAGATTATACAGAAAGCCACTGTGTTCAAGGTTTTATCTATCTCAGATATGGATGACTGTATTTCAGGCTAACTACTGTCATGTTTCAAAAAGTGTGCTGTGCTTTTTGCTGTTAAATAAACCATGTGCTTTAGATGTGGCACTTCTTCAGATGTTCAGTGGCCTTCTCTAATCTGAGTCCTTGTCTAACTTGAAAGGGGGCCTTGTTTTTACACTAGAACGTTTCTTACAAGCCTCTCAAAGCGCACAAAGTGAACTCAACATAACTGAGGTTTCCTTTCTACAGCGGTGCACTCTCATAACTCTAAACTGTTTTGTTCATTCGGCTGCTATTTATCCACTCTAATAATATTTGAGCTACTGTACGTCTTCGGTTCCGTCCATGGGGGCATTTCCACCAGTGTCAATGAGGAACTGTGAGCGTTCCAGCAAAGTGTTGCCTACTAATTAAAGATCTGTCCACTGTGGAATGGAAATCCACATATACTGTAGTTTGTGCATCAGCTAAATGCAGCCCCAAGGGGAATAGCTTGGATGCCAAAGTTGGAATAAGTTTATAGAACACCGACAAGCTCTTCCTAATCAAATTGTCTGATTTGATCAGTGCATAAACAACAAATTACCCACCAAAAAGTGGCTTTGAAAATGTAAATGTAGATTTTTTTTTGGTTTTTGTTTTTAACCAGAAGCTGATCAAAGTCTGAAAAGGACTCTGCTTCTTTGCATTTCCCGTGGACCCTCCTGCAAGGTTTAATATTTATTTTGGAGTCTAAACTGCAGGCTTAATGACTACTTGTACATTAGCCAAGAGAGGGATACACAGAAAACTACTATTTGGTTGTAAAACACTAAAGTGCAAGACAGGCTGATACCAGAGCTTGTTACATGAGAGGATGTGCTGAGCTGAGCTGGCACACTGGAGCCAATTACATTCTAGGTCTTGATGAGCGAGCTCACATACAAAAGGCTAAACAGGGAGAGGAACTCTTTTCAATACGGAGACTAGAGGTCTGCAGCTTTCATGTTGCCATCACAGGCCATGTGTGCGCTGAGCGGTGGCAGCCTGTGTACGCCACTTCATAATTCACATCACCCTCTGCCGAATGATTATAAAGATATATATTTCTCTGTGCTGATGTTTGGATTATCACTGATCCTGGCTGCTAAGCAAACACTTGGGCCGAATTTAAGGGTATCTGTCATGCTAGCTTGCTCCAGCCCCACCCTAGAGATGAGAGCGAGGGTCATGAGACTGGAAAGGCTGACAAAAACAAATCTTTAATCAATATCTGAGCCCTGAACGCAAAACCTTCTCTCTTCCGTCTCTGTCTCAGAGCGCTCTGGGAGTGACAGTTTTTCTTTTTAATCTGTGCCCACATTGTGGAGAAATTGCAAGCTAATGTTTTGGCTATAGATCATTCAACAAATCGCTGCTGGCGGTGCATATCCAAAGTAACTGTTTGAATGCAAACATTTTCCACAACAGCTCAGTGGCTAATATGGCTTATGGATGTGAGGAGACGTGTAACAGTACCTGCTCTTTCTGTAGCTATATACCTAAAACACGTGGGAGGAGAATCACAGAGGAACAAACAGTCCTGTGGATAAACATTTGGCTCTCATCTCTGTCCAGTATGATGTGCTGTGAAACTGAATTAGGCCTATGGCAATGTCTGTTATCATTATGTTGGAAGACAGCCATCCACTGGGCTGGACCAAAAATGCCCTTAAGAGTTTAGCTAAAAAAATTTGCTCAGTTAGCCAAATGAACTTAGCTCAGACATATTTCATCAGCTGTGTGATAAAATGTCAAGTTACCAGGGACAAAAATATGAATCTGATAAAAAGTAAACTTTATCCAAGCAAAAAGCTAGAAACGGTACGTTGAAAACAAATAACCTTGCAACCTTTGAAAAGGGGCTCTTTCTTTGAAATCAAATTCTACACTAATGACAGCTAATCATTAAAACGTCCTCCCAAGATTGGCTTGCATATTTCCTAATATGATGACTAATTTTAAACTGAAAGTAACTGTGTACCACTAAGTGCTGTTTAAGGTCAAATAAGTAGCATTCACCTAGTGATGCTTTCATGTGTTATACCCCCTCGCAACTGCCAATATTTGTTCCTGTAGCTTACTTTTGAGGCAGCAGCAGATATTCTAGTCACATTCGCTTATACGGAGAGAGTAAGAATTGCAAAAACTCTTATTATCTGAATCATTGTATTTGCAACAATAGCAGAGGATTTGAAAGAAATATTAAAAAAAAAAAAGAAAAGTCATCATCTTTCAGTGTGTACAAAAAACATGCATGCACACCGAAAACATAAAAGCATAAACCTATTATAATAGACAGGGAGGAAGGAATATAAGACATAAATGCCTTTTAATTCATACCATGCAAAGAAAAACATTACACAGTCTACTTACATGCAGTTTGTAGAGCATGCACAACGGTATGTGTGAAAAATATAATTTATTAAAATGCATAGACATGATGAGACATGTGGCAGTCTAAAACTGGAGTGTGTATTATGTGTCATGCAGTACGTATAACAGCCAGATCTATAGGAGGCCAGGTGTCAAACCAGTCCAATGACAGAGTGGACCTAAAGTTCAGACAATGCGTAAACAAGGACAAAGCAGTAACAAGGTGCAGGCAGAAGAGAAAAAAAAAAAGCATCTAGACAAAAACACGTGGTCAAATGTGAAGCAGGGAAGAACCCAAGACAGCCACGGGGAAGTGCTCAACTGATGACATGCTGTCAACTAAAAGCAATCAATCCGGTTGTGAGACATGAAAGAATGAGGAGGAAAGGTAACGATGGGGGTTTAACCTGCAGGAGGCTACGGCCATGGCATTTACAGTGATGGGATATTGCCTTCAGTAGCCTTCAGATTAGGACACTTTCCTCCTTTTTCAGCTAATCTCCCAAATTCTTGCTAACATCACAAACTATCTGTGGCCAAATGTCACGGCTTCCAGGCTTCTTTAACACGCTCGAAGGCAAGGTATAATTAATTCTAAAAGGAATTATTAACCACTAATTAAAAATTTACTTGATGCAGTTTTAAACATACAATAAAAAACAACCAAATTTCCCCTTTTTACTCTGTGACAGTTTAAAATCATTCATTTTAAGAGGCTTGAAATGTTGCAAAACGTTACAAAAATCACTATTTAATTTGCACAGATCTTCAATATTTATATTGACTGACTTTACACGGAAGACTGGAACAGAACATTTGATTATACCAAACTCTATAGTGTGGTACCTGTGGGAGTTCTTGAGCTGAGCTTTACAACAACACAGGACAATTTAAGCAGTGTCAAATTTCTCCGGCAGTAATGACAACGACGCCTTTCGTCCAGGGGCTGGTCTCCCTGCAGCCTGATGGCTCTTGATGGGGACAAAGAGAGGGGTATGCAGACACAGACTTAAAATAGCCATGTGTTAGCGTAGGACTGGGAAACCAATTATCTTTATCATTTGGCCCGTAGCCTGTTCGATAGCAATCTTACATACAGTGAAATTACCAGCCGCCCACAAGCAAAAGAAAGAAAAGTCCTCGTGAACTTCACCAGTGTGCTGCTATGTTACCAGAAAACTAAAACAAAGAGAACATTACATGTCTTCTAGCGATAGCATCCAGCACGAGGGCTTGACCCGCAGTGCACACAACAGCTGTCGTAAAAGACGCAAAAGGTGTTTTTTTCCCCCCACTGGGAAAGACAGAAAGAGTCCGCATGCCAGTGAAAGATTTGAATTACACTGAATCTCACTGGACGCCATTTCTTATGCAACTGCGCTACAAGAAGATAGGATGCGACATGTGCAGTATGGCAGCTTTCATTGTTTACAATTACACTGTTTACGTTCTCTCAATGGTATTGTGCCGGACACGCTGCGGCTCTGTGTGGTTATAATAGTATAGTGCAATATAGCGTAATAAGGAAAGACTGTCAAAAAGTCAAACGGCTAAACAAAAAAAAAAAAAAAAAAGCCTAGGCCTATTACTGGAAGTTCAACAAACATGCACACACGGTTAACTGCCTGCAACAAACTGAAAATGACTCTTTATGTGTTCTCAGCCCTCACCAAACTCACCCATCCATAAAAATCCCATCTCAAGGAGAGCAGAGGTGAGGTCTCTCTCTCACTCCCTCTCTCCTGCTCTTGTTCTCTTTCACTTTCTCTCTCTTGCTTACACATGCACACAAACAAAGGCCTTCTTTCTGTATCATAACTACTCCCACAATTACTCAGACGATTACTCAGATCAATGGTTTACCTGCCTGTTTGAGCTTTTGTATTCTGCTACACTGTGTCCTGGTAGGCAGAAAAAGGCTCCAGGCTGAAAGCATTAAACAGGGTGTCTGACATGGGTACAGGATACTGTAATACCATGCAATAACATGAGGGAAAATAGCAACACTGGCAAAACGTATTGTCAGTCACAGCTGTCACACATGAAGGGGTAACGCAAAAGTCTATCAACAATGTCCCTGTTACAGTCCCTGTTTCATAGCTCTGCACGAGCACACCCCTGCCTTTAAATCACTCAAAACATTCTCTGTTAAAAAAAAAATCCCAAAAAGAGACCAGCGACAAATATCAAGAGAAGAAGTCTAACGAGGGGATGGGGGTGATTTCAGACTCTCTATTTAGAAATGACAATACATGAGCACACTTAATTATCCAGTCTCTAGTCTGGATCAACAGAGTCTTCCAGCAGTGAAGAGACTGGTGTATTCATTAACAATGAAGGGGGCTCCTTTCTGCTGAGAAACAATCTGCATTACTGGGGACAGTTTTTTCAATGGATAAAGACAGAGGCTAAAATTCAGACACATTCTCTAAAGAGGAAAGAAGGGAAAATCACGGCAAATAAAGTCAAGACTTTGGCCTATATTTCTGACTGATTTGTTTTGGTTGTGACAGAAAATAGCGCTTGCGCTCAGACTTGTAAGTGCACTGAAGCAATTCCCACAGAAGCTGGTTTTTACAAGTCATAAAAACCTCGGCTATGATGCTGGCTTGTCTTTGTTCTTTGCCCCTGGTCTACAGTTCTACAAATGTAATGAAAAGGAGGCAGAGGGAAATATCAAAAAAATCAAAGGATGTTAATATTTTTGAGCATAAATATTTTTGGTCACTTTAATTTTGCAACATTTTAAACTCCTAATTGTTAACTTGAATTGATCCCCCTCCATCAAATGCAGGTTTAAGAAAAGCCGAGAAAAGGCGAGTACAGGGCCATAATTGATGGCTCAAAGTGTAAGCTTTCTCTCTGAGGGTCTGCTCAGGTCCTGATCCCCTGGCCTCAACCTGAAACAATCACTCTTAGTTAACGACAACACTTCAGCTATTGACAGCGTGATCCCGTAAAGCAGACACTTCAATCAACAGAGCAGCCGGAGGAGGTGTTGTGTTGGAGGAGAATAAAAGAAGGAGGGGGGGGGGGCATGGGGACGGATGAAATCAAGAAGTAAATAAATGAATTGATGAATGAATAATAGAGTGGCCAGCTAGTGGCCTCTTGGAGCAGCAATGCAGTATTAATAACTGACTCTTACTGTTCGTCTCTGTGTCATCACTGATACTCTTAGGTGGACCATGGCCAGCATAACACACTGCTGATCTGTACATTCGATCCGGATTACGTACTTTCTTCAGTCCTTCAGGAGGCAAAGAGAAAAGTAGAGAAAAATCGAGGAAAAGAAGCATTCTCCCAGCCTGTGATAGCTAAACAAATCTCCCCATGCAAGCAACATCAACAGAAACTATACAGAATGTTGAGACACATTTAAACACACAAGAGCTGTTGGGCAAAATACGACGGGAATAATATTAACATTTTAATATAATAAAGCTAATAAATCACATTGAATTTGTCTGTTGTCTATTTAAAACAGAAAAGTTCCCCACAAACTGAATATTTTTGTCCCTTCAAGAAAAAATGGCCAGTAATAGGGGTCACTGTAGCTCTGGCTCGGTTTGATACGGGTCAGTAACACTTCTTATTATATCAATGGTAAACTGGATGAACCAATACAATCAATCAGTGGAGTCGGTGCAAAAGCAGTCAGTAAAGATCTATTACATGCAGGCATTAGGAGTGATACGTCTCAGCAACCACAGACTGGACCTGCGTCCCATCCATCCATACTTCACTGATTCAATTAAAAGGCTGGGGGGAAAAAAAAATTAAAAAACGTAGCGCCTGATTCAACACAAAACTAGGGGGAAGCAAAATCGTCCGACATCATGAGGAGGTTAAATTCATCCTTCTTTACAAAACAGCAGAGAAATATTTATACCAATGCTGCACAAGCACTTTTGTAAGTTAATGGCTGACTGCGTGCTTACTTGATGTTTTGCTGCCGCTTCACCCTGAACTTTGAGTGAAATGATAACATCATAAAACTTTTTAAACTGCACTCGCTCGAAAATAAAAGAGAAAAATTACTTCTTGCATGGCAGACACGACCGACCTAATTCACTACATTTTTAAAAGCGAAATTTATTGATTGTTTATTTCATCTCCAAAGTTGCAACTGCGTTATCCGTACATTAGGGAAGTTTTACACACCTGTGCGAGCTTTATTGGCAAACTATGCCGTCGTCATCGGATTTGCATTCATCTGATTTTGAATTAGTGTAAATGCGCTACACAGTTGTCCGAGGTCTACAAAAAACTGACAGTATCAAGATTCAACTTCAGAGGATAAACGCATCAATATTTAACTTCAGCACAGAGTTTCCTTTACAAATCTTGTTTCATTTCTCACACTTGGCTCTTGTACAGAAATATTTGTATGACACTCCGCTCTAGTAGATTCCTAACACCACTGGCTGTAGTTTTTATCCAGAGCAGTGTCAGTATTAGACATATCAAGCCTGTCCTTTCAGTGCCCTCCAGGCCTTGTACTTAAAGTAACGGACACACAGAGCTTTTTATGAGTGTGAAGGAAAAAAAAATACCCCCAAGGGCCTGGACAATCAGTTAGGCTGGAGAGAAATACCCCAGGATGTAAACATTACACCACAGAGTGAGACCGGGTCATGGCCCCTGGGTTTAACACAAGATGCAACCCTCAGTTGTTATGGGCCATCATAAGACCTGCCAAACAACTAAGAGCGATCAGCACTGCCCGCATCCCACAAGGACAAAAAGGTTAAGGAAACACTGTTCAAATTCTCTCAGTGGCAAGCGCACATCAGGAACATGTCATGGGAAAAACTGTAACTGTCATATCCACTTTAAAAAAAAAAAAAAAACATGTTCGACATTAATGAACAGCCCAAAAAAAAAACTGGGTGCAGGAGTAAAGATTTACGACAGCTCTGTGTAAAAAGCGTTAAGGACCAGGTTTGCATGAGACGACATCGCATTTACATAAAGGTATGAAGCACTCTCCCTCTCTCTCTCTACGCTCCCCTTCCTGCTCCTCCTCCTTTTTTCCACTGACCGGCCTCACAGGAACACTGAAAATAACTTGACCGGCTCAGCAATGGGACTTTCAAGTCAGGGTTTTCAAGCGAGAGCTCCCTGGGCTTGGAGAGGCATCGCGATTATCAACTACAGCCTATTTGTTAACTTCAGCCATGTAGATGAATGCATTAGGACTATACACCACAGTGAAGTCATTACTATCACAAAACCAGATGTCTTCATTTTTTTGTCATAGCCACAGACGGAGCCCGTGTGAAGTGTGCTTCTGTAGCTCAATAACACCCCCTGGTGGGACTCGGTTTAGTGGTTGGCACACTGACATCCAAACAACTGAAATCCCAGTGTTTTATCATTTCCCCTCATATGGAAAGAGACAATTTGAAACATTACAGTAATTCTACATCAAAAAGAATTTGAGTTTACAGACACCAAAGTCTGACAGAGGTCTGTTTCATTTTGAAGCCCGCAACAAAACATTAAGAGCAGCTTAGAAACAGCTGGACCAAACGATTTATGTAGAAATCTTTTTTTTTTCTCTCTCTCTCTCTCTCTCTCTCTCTCTCTCCTCTTGTTCAATTTATGCAGCCACTTTTTAAAGTCTGGCATAACTCTATTGCTGCATGCAAAGGGTCAATATAAATCAATAAATGTAAAATACCACAAGTACAGAGAACATACTGCAATTATGACCTATCACTACACTCACTTATAATCATATTTAAAAAGTTAATCAGTTACGAATATAGCAAAAATTGACCATAGCAGAAATATTTGAATAAACATAAACAATAAAATGCAATTTAACATGCAGATAAGATTTCCAGGTTGAAGTTTTGGGGGTTTTTTTCCAGGGTGTTTAATAAAACCCAATTTCAGCATACGCAAATTTAATCTTTGTCAAACTGAGATTGTAAATATGTAACTCACTCCAGTCTACATCAAATATCTTTGACAGTGGAGAGCTGCCAAGAAAAAAAAACTAGACTTGTACATTTTACAACAGACATCTCTTAATCATTATTATGCCGTCAAAACAAGCTGCAAATAAGCGGCTGAAGGAGCGAGCCGTAGTGACACATAAACTAACACGAGCGAGCCGCTTTTAAAGCTGGGTAATAAGGGAAGAAGTTAGTCGATGCCAATGACATGTTGTCATTAACTTAGCCTTGTTGTTAACAACTTGAATTGCTCGTCGTTTGACAAGGACCCTGAGCACAATAAGCGCCAAACGCGGTACTTTTACCACGCTGACTATTTGTCCCCGTGGCGTGCTTTAAAATGTGGGCTACGATGGGAATAGTAGCTGGCTAGAATGCAAGCTAATATTAGCTGGCTAGGTGATGTCTCCACGTTTTAGCTGCCTATTCGGAGGAAAATAGCGGCGCCGTTTTCTAGCGAAAATTTCTCCACGCGTGTGTCGTCTGCGCACGGAGTTGCGGCTGTTCCGAAAAACCACACCGCGGTCATACTAGTAAATTAATCCCATTATATTTCTCTTACCTTCCGGCTTGTTTTCGGCAGCCATTTCCCCTTCACGCGCAACATCCTCCTCCTCCTCACGACCGTGGGTACCACGCGCGTGCACGGCGAGGACAGCACGAGGAGGGACCGGAGGAGCAAGCGGCGAGTCGGTCCGACCGAGGCGAACTTACCATTGGCTGTGAGGCGGTGACTGACAGAGAGGCTCCGGGATGAAAAACAACACATCTCCCCTCACCTTGGCACCACCAGCCGCGTTTTTTTTTTTTTTTTTTTTTCTCCTACAGTGAATTTAAAACAGCTCAGAGGCGCTGCCGGTCCTGCGTGACGCTTATGTTAAAGGATGGTGACGCCTTCTNAAGAAAAAAAAACTAGACTTGTACATTTTACAACAGACATCTCTTAATCATTATTATGCCGTCAAAACAAGCTGCAAATAAGCGGCTGAAGGAGCGAGCCGTAGTGACACATAAACTAACACGAGCGAGCCGCTTTTAAAGCTGGGTAATAAGGGAAGAAGTTAGTCGATGCCAATGACATGTTGTCATTAACTTAGCCTTGTTGTTAACAACTTGAATTGCTCGTCGTTTGACAAGGACCCTGAGCACAATAAGCGCCAAACGCGGTACTTTTACCACGCTGACTATTTGTCCCCGTGGCGTGCTTTAAAATGTGGGCTACGATGGGAATAGTAGCTGGCTAGAATGCAAGCTAATATTAGCTGGCTAGGTGATGTCTCCACGTTTTAGCTGCCTATTCGGAGGAAAATAGCGGCGCCGTTTTCTAGCGAAAATTTCTCCACGCGTGTGTCGTCTGCGCACGGAGTTGCGGCTGTTCCGAAAAACCACACCGCGGTCATACTAGTAAATTAATCCCATTATATTTCTCTTACCTTCCGGCTTGTTTTCGGCAGCCATTTCCCCTTCACGCGCAACATCCTCCTCCTCCTCACGACCGTGGGTACCACGCGCGTGCACGGCGAGGACAGCACGAGGAGGGACCGGAGGAGCAAGCGGCGAGTCGGTCCGACCGAGGCGAACTTACCATTGGCTGTGAGGCGGTGACTGACAGAGAGGCTCCGGGATGAAAAACAACACATCTCCCCTCACCTTGGCACCACCAGCCGCGTTTTTTTTTTTTTTTTTTTTTCTCCTACAGTGAATTTAAAACAGCTCAGAGGCGCTGCCGGTCCTGCGTGACGCTTATGTTAAAGGATGGTGACGCCTTCTTACATTATATTATATTAAAGAGGGGGAGAGAGAAAAAAAAAAACTTAATGTTTAGCAGGTTGGCTGCATATTTTAGCTTTCATTAAAACGAATTAGATTGTGACATTTTGGGAAGTTGTTTGACACGGTCGTCCACACAAAACTAGTTCAATGTTATGCTGAATTAACTGTTCATAGTCTTTTTTTTCTTCTTTTTTTAATCTAAAATAAGCGTCCATCTTTGTTTCATACAACAACTTGTCTTATACTGTTCATACTTTCTGTGCTATGTACACTGCATATATCTCATACTATCCATACTGTATATACTGTTTAACCCTACCTGTACATCCATCTTTATACTGTTATCTACTATTATATTAATATACTTCGTGTGGTCATAACACTCATATGCATATAATGATCTTTACAGCTGCTTTTGCACTTCTGGTTACATGCTTAATTGTCATTCCTTATCATAATATTTGTACTCTGTTCAATGATAATAAAGTTGAATCTAATCTAATCTTACGATTGGAGATCCATCTGCAGAAAAAAAAAAAACAGGTTGTTTTACTTAATCCCTAATAAGGTTGAGTTGGCTGAGCTTCAATTTTTTTTAAATGTTTTGTTTCAGTTTCCTCTGTATTTAATATACTGAGTGTTGGTTTTCGACACATAGCCTAATAAAAACTAATAATGTAACATTTGAGACATATGATACAACCGTTTGGACAGTCTGTCAGTTAAGTATCCAGATGTCAGTTTGCATTTGAGAACCTGCACAATATATATATATAAATATTTCTCTCTTATAAACTTGTCTAACTGATTGTGGCTGCAGGGGTTTCTGGGAGATCCCACCTCTTGTGGGGTGGGCTGATGTAAACAGTTTCAAAGAATCCAAAGGCTTTTACAGCCACACGCAGCAATAAACAAGTTATCAGTTCGCTTTGCAATCGAGGTTCTCAACTTCTATCATTACAGCCTTGACATTAGCATGCATATGGCTATAGGCAACCTAATTACCGATCACTGTGCTTATTCGAGTCAACCAGGGCACTTAAGGAGTGCCTTTAGGAGGCTGCTGACCGTCAGCGCTGAGATGCAGCGTATAGTTTGAGGTGGTGGTGCTGAAAGAACAGCTCCCCTGCTGCCCGCCGCCCGTGCGCCTTACAGCCAACGGCTTGTTGTTATTGCGAAGACAGTAATAATAAACTAATGAAAGACCTAATGTATTGAAGTGATTTTCTCACTCCTAGCCTTAATTGCTTCTGAATATGAAGCAGACAATATCCCTTTAGAATTAAGGCAATCACGTGCCTTACTTAATGTAAGCAATATGCATCTTCTAAGCTTTAAAAAAAAAAAAAAAAAACTAAAAAGGCATATTCAAATGTGTTTAAAAATGTATTTTAATAGGCTTGATTTGCTGTCATGTGCAAAAATAATTACATGTAGCCCAACAAACACTGAAGTCATTTAAATAAAACTATCATTAGCTGCAGGGTGGAGATGACTAATCTTTTAACCCTGAAAATACATCGTATATATTCAAAGCATTCCTTAGAAACTCTAAAATTAGTGGATAATCGAAACTTAAGCATGTATAAGAAAACATACACAAATGAGCGGAGTTGTCGCTGGTCCCCGACACAAGGAGGCGACAGAGTGCGCACGCAGGTCTGTGAGCGACCTAAATGCCACGAAGAAGAGATGACCGGGTGTAAACATGGCGTCTGCCTTGGACGATGATGATATCGGCAGTGATGACTATTATTCCTTGCTTAATGTCAGAAGAGAGGTACAATATGTAGTTGTTTCCTAAATAAATGTCTGCGCAGACGTATTTGTCAGTCATTCCGTGAACTTTCCTTGGTTGATATTCAGCGGTCGCTCGTATAATTAGACGTGAGGCTGGCTAGGTAGCTAGCTTGTGACCCTCGACATTGGCTATGTACAGTGACTCCTCGCCTGAATACTTTACCACATGTGCAGCAGGTTGCGGGGATTAAAGCTTTTTCAGCTTAAGTTGTAAGTTGAAGGAGTAACGTAGAAAGTCGTGTGCCGCTGTGTCAACGCGGGAGCCGATGTTAACCCTCTGAAAGTTATTTTCAGTTTCACATTGATGCCATGGAATGTGGACAGTGCTAACTTGCTAATGCTACAAGTTACTTCAGGGCTGCATCATGCAACACCTCCACTTCACTTAGTTCGACAACAAATGTGTGCTTCAGTGTAATAAGTGGGGATCGAGCACTCTCAGTCGTAATAGTTTTGTCACATTTGTTGGAGCAGGGAACATTGTGTTCAACATTGCAGTTTTACAAACCGAAAAAATTTGGTAGCATATGGACATGCTGTGCTGCAGGATGACAAAAATGTACTTCATTCAAGGATCGATTACAAAATGTTCATGTCATCCCGTTATATACGGTCTCTCTCTCAGTAACTTAAAAATATAATGTGTTCATGTTCGAATACATTTATTACATAAATGTCCTCGTACTAACTATGACAATCTGGGGAAATACATTTTACACTTTAGTGTGCCTCACGATAATGTAATCATAATCTGACTTTAAGCAGCAACAGCAGTAGTAGTAAGTGAGTTATGTAGTAACAGTGTCATGCCGTGTGTCTTTTCTGATGCCGATTAAGTTTTTCTTGTTATTATTTTCAAAATTTCAATGGTATGTTTCAGGCTACACAGGAGGAGCTGAAGGCAGCCTACAGGCGATTATGCATGCTGTATCACCCAGACAAACACAGAGACCCTGAACTAAAGCGACAAGCAGAGCAGCTCTTTAATCTCGTACACGAAGCTTATGAAGGTAAGAAAAGCTGTGATCACGTGATGCAGTCGACTCCTGTTGCAGCTGCACACTAAAACGATGTTGACTTGAATGTCTTATAATCTGGGTTGGTTGTTGTCACTGATTGGTGCCCGTATCTTTCTAGTGCTTAGTGACCCACAGGCACGAGCAATCTATGACATCTATGGCAAGCGGGGACTTGATGTTGATGGATGGGAGGTAAGTCTCTCAGTGACTATAGGGGTTAGTAATTCCCAAACAGGCCAACAAATGCAGTTTTAAAAAAAGCATCACATTGTGTTGATTGACAGTTTTATTTATCAACTTTAAAATGTAAATTGATGCACCTCTGACTTGCACTGCAGGCAGGAGAAGCCTCATGGGTACAGTTCGTTGAAGTTTTGAATCTTATAACAACAATTGTCTGGGCTGCCTCATACATTTTTACAAATACTGCATATTGAATTTGTTGTAAATATCATGTGTATTGCTAGCCAAATGCAAACATGGCTGAATGTCATGTAACAGAAACAAATCTATTTGAAAAATTCAGTTTAGGTTAGCAAATTCTAACTTTGAGACACACACAGCAGGGAAAAATCCAACATCAGCAATTCAAGTTAATCACAATTGAATCAAGTCCATATTTTATTAAACTTAACAAGTGGTTTTCATCAGAATGGGCAGGATAGTATGTTTGCATTTGCAATATGTACTTTCTTAACATTCTTTTCTTTGCAATGCGTTTAATCCAGGTTTTGTTTTGTTATGTCTAGATTTAGCAGTTTTTTGACAGTTTTACCAAATCAGTGTATATTTTTAATTAGACATGCCCGGTCGGATGTTTTAGAAAGAAACCAAAAGTTTTGTCGTTAGTTGACCGTATAGTTTGACCCTGTGACGCTGAACCTTGGTGATGTCCAGTTAGAAACAAATGTCATTAGTTTCACACTTAGTGCCTCCTCTTTGTGATTGTGTAATTTTGATTCCACTGAACTGGAGAGTTGACACTTAAACATCAG